TTAATTGTGGTTGTTTCTGAGAAAGAAACTGGTGATCTGGAAGGCAGGCAGCGAGGAACTGCACCGGGCTGGGCGATGGCTCAGGGGCCAAAGGTGTGGCTGTGCTAGCCCTGACAGCCAGGGTTTCCTCCTCGAACCCACGGGAGACGGGGAGAATTCCACGGAGCCAACGGGGAGAATGACTCCACTGAGCCAGCGAGCCAGCTCCATCAGTCTTTATTTAGATAAAAATGACTAAGTTCCCTTATGCCTATACACCTAGGGGTTGGAGATTCTGTTGGAGGAAACTCTTGGACAGTCAGCTTTGAGACAGCCAAGGTCGGTCACAGAGCCGCTCTGTAAATACAAGCCACGAGCTCAGGTACAAATCACTGATGCTCTTTTAGGCTCCTCTTGGTACTACTGCTCACATCCAGTTTATAAACAAACCCAGCTCTTGGTTCTCCATTTAATAGATGCACCCACAAACTACTCAAGTCAGGTGTGCTGGCACGGAATCCTGGCACTTGGGAGACTAAGGAAGAAGCTCGCCTGCAAATCCAAGGCCATGCTGGGCTACAGAGTGAAACCCTGCTTTGGAAAACAAAACAGAGAGGGCCAGCAAGATAACTCAGTAAATAAAGGCACTGGCTGCGAGCCTGACTACCTGAGTTTGATCCCTGGAATCCATGTGGGAAGGAGATAACCCACTTCTGCAAGTTGTGTACACACACACACACACACACACACACACACACACACACACACACACACACAAGACAAGAATAACAACAACAACAACAAATCCACAGAACTATTCTTTTCATTTCCCTGCTCCAAGACAGAAGTCCCCAGGCCTCAAGATGGCGAGTGTCCCACAGCTGACCCCATGCCTCCCTCCATCTGTGAGCACAGGAGCCAGGACAGTGGCCTTTTCCAAGGTAAAACCAACTACGCTTCTCCAAGCCAACGCACTCAACAGTTTCCCATCTGTAGAAGAAAATCCAAACTGTTCCATTTGTGGTCACACCTTGGTGATCTTGGAACTCATCTTCTCTCCAGGGCTCTGAGTTTCCTGGTCTCTCTGCTCTGCCTACTATGGATGGAGCCTGTGAGGCATGTCAGTTCCTTCTGGCCCACTCCCACCCTTTTCTCTCCCGGGCTAAAAATGTCCGTCTCCTCTACAATGAAAAAGTTCTCTGCTGAGAAAAATCCATATAAAAATGGTTATCTCCAGCCACAAAAAAACAAAAACAAAAACCAAGGGTTGGAGAGATGGCTCAGAGGTTAAAAGCACTGGCTGCTCTTTCAGAGGTCCTGAGCCTGAGTTCAATTCCCAGCAACCTCATGGTGCCTCACAACCATCTACAAGGAGAGCTGGTGCCCTCTTCTGACCTGCAGACATACATGCAGGTGGAACACTGTGTACATAATAAATAACAAATAAATAATCTTTAAAAAACTAGCAACTTTCCGGCCGGGCGGTGGTGGTGCACGCCTTTAATCCCAGCACTCGGGAGGCAGAGGCAGGAGGATCTCTGTGAGTTCGAGGCCAGCCTGGTCTCCAAAGCGAGTACCAGGAAAGGCGCAAAGCTACACAGAGAAACCCTGTCTTGAAAAAACCAAAAAAATAAAAAATAAAAATAAAAATAAAAAAACTAGCAACTTTCTAGCCTTCTCTGCCTTTTATCTGCTAAATTTTTTTCTTCAGTATACCCCCTATATTGTAATTTATTAACCTGGTAACTAACTATGTCTTTAGAATGTTTGCTAGAGTAAAACTTTTTCTTTACTGTTGTATTTCAAGCACTTAAAACAGTGTCTGCTACAATCTGAGGCACTAAATGAATACAGGGTAATTAATTAGACAAATGGATAAAGAAATAAATGGCTTTCCCAAGATAAGTTTCAAGTTCATATCTGGTCCAGTGTCTGTGCCAAACCATAGACTATTTCTCAAGGTCAACACCAAACAGGGATGTTATAATAACACAGGGTAGCAATGTCACCTCACTCAGTTTGGATAAAGTCTTCTTCCACAATTCACCAACGGCCCTTCTCCTATCTCCCTGCCACTAAGGACTCCAATCCCCTTTATCTGAATTTGGCTTTTCTAAGAACCTGTGAAGAGGTTGCAAGGCCTTGTCAGTTACCCCCATGAAGAAGTGTTAGTTAGTTATTTCACAACCCAAGCAAATGTCTGCAGTCAGAACTAGCGGAGTTTTTTCTTGGTAGGTAGCCCTATTGGACAATCATCTGATTTGCTAAAGTTATGATTTCCTGGTGGCTTAATTCAATTAGTCAAAGGAGGCAAATTGAGAGTCTGCAGATGGGAACCTGCAGTAAGCTGCGGCCTGCCACATGCACTTGGGTTTTACAGTTTTTATTATTTGCATACAAAGAATTTGGTTTCATTCTGGCATTTCTTTCAAACATTTTGTTTTAATTGCTTCTCTTCCCCTCCTCCCCTCCTGCCCTCCTCACCATCCCCTCCTCCTCTCTCCTGTCCCCTCTTCCCCTCCCCCCTCCTCCCTTGTGCGCTCTCCCTTCCAGTCACTCCTTTCCACTTTCATGATACATGTCACTTTTTACCTTCCCCTGTATAATCTGTTAACCAAGAATACACTACTTAAGTTTCAGAAAGATTTACCTAAAAAGTACACCTAAGTTATAACATTCACTTTCTTTCTGATATATGGGATGAAAAACACAAAGACAGACAGACAGACATGTGTACCCAATCAGAAATTTTACATAATCCTAGTTTGACTACTTTAGCATTTAGGGCAACTACAAATGTCATCACAACAGTCAAAGACTCTGTGTGTGTGTGTGTGTGTGTGTGTGTGTGTGTGTGTGTGTGTGTGTATGTGTGTGTGTGTGTGTGTGTAGGATAACAAGTTACAGGTCACCCTGGGATACCCCATGAATTCAGGACCAGCCTGGGCAACTTCATGAGACAATGCATCAAGCTAATAAATAAATAAATAAATAAACAAGCAAACAAACAAACAAGAAAAGGTATGATTATCAAAATGCCCTAATTTTAGCTCGTAGTGCCAACTCTAGGCTATGGAGTCAAGGCCAGACTGGGTTAGGACTCCACCTCTGTCAGCTGGCTGCTGTGTGATACTGGGCATCTTCTCTAATGCTCTGAGAAAGGAATGTCACATTTACTCATACCCTGGGAAACCTTAAAAGCTATGTGGGCCGGGCGCTGGGAACATAGTTCAGCTGGCAAAGTACTTGTCTCACAAGGAAGACCAGAGTTCAGGTCACATCTGTAAGCCTGGCAATGGGAGAGTGGATACTGTGCCCAACTAATCTAGCCAATTGTTGAGCTCTGGAGTCAGTGAGAGACCCTGTCTCAAAAAATAAGGTAAACATGACTGATGAAGACATTCAGCCTCACTCTCTGGCTTCCATGTACACATACATAATACACACACACACACACACACACACACACACACGTGAGTACAGACAAATGTGTCCACATATACCACACACACAATTATGCAGGTTTACTATGCAAATCAGTATGGAGGTTCTTCAAACCATTAAAAATAGTGATACTCTGTCTCAAAAACAATAAAAATAACTCCCCATGGGAGACCTCGATTTGGGGGATGTGGGGATGAGGGGTGGCTTGGGAAAGAGGGCTGGGGGTGCGAGGAGGGAGGAGGGGGGATCTGTGGATAGCATGTGGAGTGAGTAGAAAATTTCTTAATAAAGAAAAATTAAAAATAAAAAAAAAACTAAGACTAGACCTACACTACAATCCAGCTGTACCACTCCTCAGTATGTACCTGAAGGATCCTAGGGCAACATACTGCAGAAATACCTGCATGTCCATTTTATTGCAGCACGATAGCCAAGTGACAGAATCAGCCCAGGTACCATTAACAGACAAATGGATAAAGAAAATGTCACACACACACACACACACACACACACACACACTTATCCATAAAGAAAAATGTAATTCGACTGTTCATGGTGATGCACACTTGTATCTCCAGCACATGAGAGGCAGGGGCAGGACGATCAGATGTTCAAGGTTACCCTCAGTTTCATTAGGAGTCCAAGGCCAGCCTGAACTACATGAACTACTGTCTCAAAAGGCCAAAAAAAAAAAAAAAAAAAAAAAAAAAAAAAAAAAGGTGGGGGCAGTTAAGAATAACAAAACCAAGAAATTTGGTCAAAAAAGAATGGAGATAGAAATAATCACATAGGTAAAATAAACCAGACTCAGAAAGACAAATACGAAATGGCGTGTTTTCGCTCATGTTGAGTCCAGCTGTAAATCTATGGACGCATATGTATATAGGACACAATAATAGAACGAAACTACTTGGAAAGAGCGAGGGATCAACTGAGGTAAGACAAAGAAAAAGTGAGTATTAGCAGAATACATGGTGCGCTCGCATGAAAATGACACTGCCCATTACACTGTTGGATGAATATACCCCATTTAAAAAAAATCAAACGTTATTTATGTTTTAGGACTGGGGTGTAGTTCGATACAGTTACCTGTGTGCTTAGCATGGCTCTGGGTTTCATTCCCAAAACACTCACACACAACCCCGAATATTCAGGCTGTACATGAGCACCAATAAACCGAACTTTATTCGTGACTTCCCAATCCCTTGAGTTTATTTCAAACCACACTCCCCGAGGCTTCAAAGCGAACACGAAAACCCGAGACGCTATAGTCAACGAACTATGACTAACTAAGGGTTCCTACCAGCGTCCAGATGATTGAAACAGTAACCCTGTCCTTAGAGAGAGGTAAGTCCTCTTATCGAATACTTGAGTCGAGAATCACCTCAGCAAGCAGACAGCAGACGTGCTGTTTGTTTTCTATAGGCAACTTCCGCCTCTCAGGGTCACCGATGGCCCAGTGAGGGTGGCTAAGTGTCCACAACTGGCCTGAACCCCCACTGCCAGGCCATTTTCCCAACTGCCCACAGCAGCACAGACCGACCTGGACCGCATGGAGGGGTGGCAGCGAGTCCTACCTGGATCAGCCCGCGCTGGTACAGGGCGCTGTGCACGCAGCCCGGGACGGTCCCCGGTAGTTTCAGGGAGCCGTTCCTGTTGCTCACCCGCCAGCTGCCCCGCAGGCTGTAGCTAGGACCCGCCGCCACGCAGCACGCCCCGCACAGCGCTAACAGCGGGAGCAGGTGGAGATGCATGCTGACGGCTAGCAACAGAGACCCGGCAGTGTCGCCCCAGCCCTCGCCAAGGCTTGGCCGCTCTGTCCCCGCCCAGAGTCTGGGCCCGCCCCCAGGTCAGCTGAGCACCTCCTGCACCCTTGCAGGGAGGGACTGCGGCGGGGACCCGCCACCCGGGTGGAGGCAGAGCTCAGGGCTTGGGTTGCTGCGGCCTGCGCGCTTCTGCAGCTCCAGCTTCCCGTTTCAAGTCGACGCTGTTAAGTGGGACAGCAAAGCGACAGAAAAGCCTGGGAAGCCGAGCCTGACCATTTGGGAGACCACAGGTGCGCGTCCTCAACCGTGCGCACACCCTGCACGGGGAGCCCTCCCGCCACGCCTGCCTGGAAGATGGTCCCAGGCCACAGGGTCTGCCAGGCTGAACGCCCCCTCGATGAACCTGCTGGGACTAAACAGTGCTAACTATAAACTCGTAGGGTTGCTTCCACGGTTAACTGAAACGCTCCATCTACTACTCCCTGTTAGCCTCGGCTGCGTCATGTCCTAAACCCTGTGGAGTTCCTCCTGGGGTTCCCAGGAACTTGCATTAGTGCTACAGGGGAGTCTGAAATCCCCTCCCTCGCTGCAGTGGGATTGGGCAAGCAACAGAATTCCCACTTCTTGAATTTAAAAAATGCAGACAATTATTTCGGAGGCACAATTCTTCTTTTAAACAAACAAAACATCCCATATTTGTTTTCTTATTAATTTCATGGTTGGAGGGGATTCCTGCCACAGCATGCGTGTGGAGGTCAGAAGACAGACTGTCAGAGGAACTTACTGGAGTGCTCGTCTTCCACCACGCGGATGCCAGGGACGGAACTCGGTGTCAAACTTGGAGGCATTCTCCTTTAACTGCGGAGCCATCTCATCAACCCCTGAGTTCTTCTCAGAGATCTCCACTCAGGTGAAACCAGGATCTTAGGCCACAGAAAAGAATTTCAGAAAGTCCATGTGAAGCAAAACTTGGTTATCAAGAAAATATAGTCTCTAGCTTAAGCAAGGGCGTTGAGAGAAGCCTAAGAAAGCATGACAAAGTCCAGTTGAGGAGGCTCAGACTTCTCAAGACAGAAAGCAAGCCTGGGTTTGGAAGTTACACTGTCTAAAAGAAAGATTAAGGGAGGTGCAGGTGTGGGTAGTGGCTTACACCTGTAACTCCAGCAATCGATAAACTGAGGTAGAAGGATAGCCTTTAGTTTGAGGCTAGCCTGGGATACAGAGGAAGTTCCAGGTCACCCTGGGCTTGAGCCAAACGTTGCCTCAAAAAACTGAAAAAGAAAAGGAAATTAAGATACATTGGTATGCTTATTTTTATCTAAAGAATTTTTCTTCAATAAATGAGGTTATAAGGTTGTTGGAATGTTGTGTTCGGGGTTACAGGCTTATAAAATAGGGCCCAGGAGATGGCTCACTGGGTTATGGGGCTTGCCACTCAGCCTGAAGACCTCCATTCAGTCCCTGGGACCACAAGGTAACTTAAACTACACTCCTGGTTAAAGGGTCCCTCTTCCTTCCATGCCCACTTAGCGTCCCCTGCCCATTATATCCTGCCTTACTCTTGGGTTTGATAGTCACATATGCTGCCTGACCTCCCTCCTCTGCCCGCCCCCTTTTCCCAGTGGATTTGTTATTACACTGAACTCTCAGAGTTCAGAGGGAATTCCATACTGTGCAAAGTATTTTTACATTGTTCATGTTATTGTGAGCTCTCCTCTCAAAAAAATAAGTCTTCATTCCCCCGCCTCACCACTCTGGTATCAACTGAATCTGCTAGCACAGAATTGGCATTTTTAAAACCTTGGTATTTTGACTTAGGAGACCCAGGTTTTCCAGCCCCACCCCATGGATCTCAGCTGAGAGATTTGAATCCAAAGAGGTCAGTTGGCTTACCTGTCACATCACAGCAGGCAAGCTCAAAGCCCTCTCTGCTCTCCTGGCTGCTACTTGCCTTTAAGTAGATCCGCTCTTATTCCATGGTAAAGGCTCTAGCTGGTTCAAACCTTCCTAAATCTCCAGGGCAAACTTCCCTTTGACATGACTAGAACTCCATAAGATGCCATGTTTTGTGGCATTAAATGGCCAGCTGTGGTCTGTATAACACTTAATAACAGAGTTTTTGGCAACCAGATTGGCAAAGAAATTTTTGCATAAACCCTGGACGTACCAGGAATCCAACCAAATCAAAGGGAAATTCACCTGAGCCAACCTGTGGGTAGAGTCTCCTTTCTATTACACGTTTAAGAGGAATCGTTTTTCTTGGAAAATAAAAAGAGAGGCATCCTTCTTCTTCCCATCCCAGCCTTCCCACACGGCACTTGGATCACATGTGTCCATGAAGAATCAACACCATCAAAAATGTCCTTTCTAAAACTGGGATTGGCACACAGGACATGTTGGGCTTTAGTTTCTTATAGACTCATTTCTTTTTTCATAATTACCTCAAGAAATAAATCTTATTTGACCATAAAGCTTCTTGACAATGCAATTTAAAATTGGGATACCAAATGCAGTTTTAACTTTAATAGTCATGAGTGTTTGTAAATGTACATGGCGTAAACAGATTCCATTTTCACCATCTCGTCTGATGCCTTCCAAAAGTTCAGTTATGTAAGACAAATGATAGTCCCTGATTTAAAGAGATCAAGAAGTTTGCCAGAGGTGAAATTCATAGGGTCAACATCCTGAAGGACCATGCAATAAAGGCTCTTTGGCCCTTTGTTGTGTAAAAGCATATCCTTCATGTCTAAATACATTAAATTACTAAATACAGAACTTTGTGGTATAACAAGGACAAGGATATTCTAATTCCATGTGATAATTATAAAAGTAACAGGAAAAGGGTGACCGGAGAGATGGCTCAGCAGGTAAAGGTGCCTACTGCCAAACCTGATGACCTGAGTTCAATTCCTGGGACCCACATAGTGGAAGGAAAGACCCAACACCCACAGCTTGTCCCCGATCTCCACCTGTGCACTGTGACAATACCCCCTACACACACACACACACACACACACACACAGTAAACATATTTTAAGTTATATGAAAAATAAGAAAGTAAAACTATAATGATATATCGAGTGGATGGATATTCTCCTTTAGATCCAGTGTCTGCTTTCTCTCCAGTAGGCCACAGATGTTTCTCTCAAAGATTGTTTCTAGTTTTCTGTACTGGGGATTGAACCTAGGGTCTTCGACCTGCTACATAGGTACTTTACTACTAAGCTACACTGCTGGTCCTCACTCACAGGTTTTATTTATCAGGGAGTGGCCATACTGGTGCTTGTACTTAACTCTCACCAGGCCATGAAGTCTTAAATAATCAGAAGGTTAATTGTGGCTGGCTGTAACCTGTACTCTCAGCACTTGGAAGACAGAGGTAGGAGGATCAGGAGTTCAAGATCATCCTTGTCTACATAGGGATTTTGAGGCCACCCTGAGCTACATAAGACCTATCTCCAAAATTAATAATAGCTGGGCTGGACAGTTGTCTCAGTGGTTAAGAGCACCTGTTCTTGCAGAGGACCTGGGTTCAGTTCCCAGCACCCACATAGATGCTCACAACCACCTGTAACTCCAGTCCCAGGAGATCCAAGATCCTCTTAAGACCCCTAAGGGCACCAGATACACATGTACTGCACATACATACATACAGGCAAGACATAAATTCATATGAAATAATAAAATAAAATTTAAAGTAGTAATAGCAAGGAAGATTAAGTCTGTAGGTCTAGGTGGGGATGCTCCAATAGAACTTCTCACAGAGATTAGGAACACAGAAAAGAGTTTGGCAACTCATTCCCCAGTCAAAAACTGCAACTGTAGAAATCCCTAAACCCATCAAGAATGGGGGGGGGGGGGGGCCCTGACAGTAGGATCAGGATCTATCCCTGGTGCATGAGCGGGCATTTTTGAGCCCATTGCCTGTGGTGGGACACCTTGCACAGCCTTGATGCAGGGGGAGGTACTTGGACCTGTCTGAATGTCCTGTTCCAGGGGATCCAATGCCCCACTCTGGCCTCCTTAGGCACTAGGCATGCACACAGTACACAGACAGGCAGACCTGCAAGCAAAACACCCATACACTGAAAAGTAAACAAAACAAGAAAGCAGAGAGCAAGGAAAGCTGCTGCTCCCTGGCTTCTGGTTTTCTTTTTATTCAGTTTAGGACTTCAGCCCTTTGGGACGGTAGCATTCATATTCAGAATGGTCCTTTTCTCAAATTCTTGGGAAATACCCTCATAGACTGTGCAGAGCCATGTCTCCTAGGTGACTCTAAATCCAGTCAAGGGCCAGTGAGATGACTCAGTGGATAAAGATAAAGGCCACCAAGCCTGATAACTTGAATTTGCTTCCTGACCCACAGGATGGAAGGTGAGAACCAATTCCCAAACGCTGTCCTCTGACCTCTTATGTGTATTGTGGTACACACATGCCAGTGTGTATGTGTATAAACATGCACACACACACACACACACACACACTCACACATACACCACTGCCACCACTTTAGAAGCTGTCTTTGAGTACAATCAACTCATCAGTAAGTATATATAATATGGCTGAGAGAAAAACTTCTGAGCTTGAAAATGTCAACAGAAACTTTCCAAAGTAAAAATTAAAGCAAAATAAATAGGCTGAAAAGAATCAGACTATCCAAGAGTGGTGAGGCAGCTATGGAAGCTGTAAAAGACATGAATTAGTGATCCTGAAAGCGCTACAGGCGTGAATTAGTGATGCCATAGGAAAAAGACAGAAAGGAGCACATGATATGGTGAGGAAATACTGAGAACTTCACCTGAATTAAGGTCACACATCACGCCACAGATGCAGGAAGCTCAGAGACCATTGAGTGAAATAAATGATAATGAATAAACAAATATATCTAGGTGCTGGTGGCCCTGTCAGAGGAGCAAGCAGCAGGTGGCAATTGGAGTTCAGGTGTTAGCCCACCAGGAGGAAAATCCCTGATGAGTAAATATGGGACGGACAAGGCCCTGAGACCACAGACTCCAGAATGGCTTTTGCTTCTACTGTGCCTTTACATATTCGCCACTGCTATCTTTCTCTCTTTATGGTGTAAATGTGTGTGGGGAGATCCCTATGGCCTGTAATGTAGTGTACTTATCTTATGGAAACATCTCATTCTGCTTTGCATTTTTACCTGTGGATTACTATGAAAATGATTTCTTCTTAAGCTGTACTGTCGAATTGATAATAATAATGTTAGTTTAAATGACGATAAAAAATAAAACAAGGAAGTGTCACACAGTTAAAAAACATAAGCTTCTATAGAGGAGTCATATAGACTGTGGTATAGGTTAATGATTAAGAAAAACAATTGAGTTCCAGTAGCCCAGCTAGCTTAAATTCTTTTAACCTTAATATTGGGAGATGTGTTCACAGATTTAGGAGTGCATCATAGCTGAAACAAAGCTTTGAAAAGAAAAAGTTAGACTAGATGTTTTTTCCAAATGGCTTTGAGGTAAAAAAACCCAAGAAGACAATCTAAAGTTTTAGAAAGGCATATAATTGAGTGAGGAACTCATTAAGGTCAGGTAACAGATAGAAAGCAGTCCAATTATTATTAGCTGATGTACACCTCTTGTTAGTTTTGGTTGGTGATCAAAGGTGATGATTGATTCCTTATATTCCCAAGTTTACCCTCAATCTCTTGATATAAAAAAACTATTGATGAGTGGGTATCTTTTAAATAAGATTTAAAGTAGAGTCGACTGGTTCTTTTTCACTATACAAAAGTTTAGATTTGTGATTCCTTTAAGAATCCTTCTAAGATTACCTTTCAAGGTCAGTAATAAAGTGATTGGTCCTTCCTTCGTAACCACAACACGCAGCCTGCATTATCTTACTTGCTTACACACTGTTAATTTATAACAAGTTGCTTGGGTATGAATGTATATGGGTTTGGGGGATAACTTGTTTATCACTTGTAATATGTAAAATGTTTAATCATCTAAGGGATATGGAAAACATGTTTTTTGTTTTTTGTTTTTTTTTTCCGTTTTTCGAGACAGGGTTTCTCTGTGTAGCTTTGCGCCTTTCCAGGGACTCGCTTGGTAGCCCAGGCTGGCCTCAAACTCACAGAGATCCGCCTGGCTCTGCCTCCCGAGTGCTGGGATTAAAGGCATGCGCCACCACCGCCCGGCGGAAAACATGTTTTTACTTGTATTCATTGTAATCATTCACTTGAAAAATGGAATGTAACCACATTGTAATTTTTATATTGCCTGAAAGATTTTGCTGGGGTATATACGCTGTAAGGGAAAGAATGAAGATAGGGTTAAAATGAGTTAGAAGGAAAAGATCAAGAATGAGAGAGTTAGAAGGAATTAGAAGGAGAACATCAAGAATAAAGATAAAGGAGAAGGAAAACAAAAGGGACAAAAGGGACATTTCTGGATAGAGATAAGAATACAGAATAGAGAACGAAAAGAAGAATACGAAGAATAAAGAAGGAAACCACCAAGAGAGTGTGAGTGTCTTTTCCCCTACCCACTCAGATAAAAAAGTCTTAGCATGAGCTAACTCTATGGATTTCCTTTGAGCCCTACATGGCTGGAGGCTGTCCCCACCCTCCTGCTCCAGGCATCAATATTTAAGCTTTTCTTAATCTAATTGTAAACCATCAAAGGTAAAACTACAATAGGGCAAGAGGAGGAAAAATCTTGCTAGAACTACAGAAGAGTCATCTTCAGCTGATACCCAACTTCTTGGGGGTTGTCAGGCAAGCAAAAGGGCGTGGAGTGAGATATCTCAAATGCTGAACAGGAAACACACCAAGACAATTCTATGCCTTGCAAAATATCCCTCCAAACCCAAAGAGAAAGACTTCCTGATTTCTTCCAGACCTTCTATGCTCCTTCTGTTGGTTTCTCTTTTCTAATAATGTGGATATTCTCTTGATTTTTTTCCCCTTTTTAGGTTTTTTTTTTTTTTTTTTTTTTTTTATAAAAAGCTTTTTGGAGGCCTGGAGATGGCTCAGTAGGTAAAGAAACCCATGTAAATGCAGAAGGGGAGAATCAACTCCTGAAGGTTGTCCTCTGACCTCTGCATATGCATGGAGATGTAGGTATGCCTGAACTCACACACAAACTCTCCCTCCCTCTCCCTCTCTGTAAAAGAAGCCTTTTATTTTCAGATGTTTTGAATTTATAGAAGTATCACAAAATTAGTGCAAAGATTTCCTCTGTGTCTGTTACCTAGTTTCCTTTAATACTTCACTACTATATAGCCACAGAATACTAATTAAATCTAAAAAGTTAATATTGATATAGTATATCAAATATTTGCACTTGGATTTTAATTTTCCATCAACACTTTTTGGGGTGGGACATTCAATCCAGAATTCTGTATTCCATCTAGTTATCATATTCCTGTCTCCTCTGATCTGTGAGATTTCCACTTATAACTCAACATTTTGAAGAGTACTGGGAGTTATTTTGCAGAATGTCCTTCCAAGCTGGGCTTGTCTAAGATTTACATAATGAGATTGAGCATGTGTGTGAATGGAAAGGACACCACAAGTGCTGAGATGCCCTTCTCAATACAGAACACTGTGGAGATGTTGTGTATCAGTCACAATAACCTTGCTTGGGTGTTTAAGGTAGTATTTGCCAGGTTTCTCCAGAAGGAAGCTGCAGTTTCCTTTTTTGTAATTAACAAACATTGGGTAGGAGGTGAGAGTTGGAGCCTGTGAGAACATGCTGGTCCTGTTAGACATCCACCCATGAACTTAACTTTCATCAGTGGACCTTCCTGCAGTCATGGTTGCTTTGGAGATAGTCTGCCATGTCCTTCATCCTTCCTATACTTACTCATTAGAATTCCCAAAGAATGTGGAGTCTTTCCCTGAACTACTGTCTCCTTCTGACTGCTAGGGCATTAACACAGCCTGGTGCACAGCTAGCTACTAAGTGTCTATCACC